CATATATAGTTATAGTCTTCATACTATAACCAGTGCGTCCCTTGAACAATTATTATTATATATTATAAACTATTTTAACTATGAAAGTTCCTTTTTTAATTAATTTGTTATTAATTATTTCTACTTTACAAAGATATTCAACGGTTCATGCTTTTTATCATGAACCATTAGCGAAATTATGGAATGTACCATCTAGTAGGTTACCTGAGCTAGTATTACGCCAAGAGAATTTAACAGCCCTAGAAGAACAAGTAAATACAATACTAAGACAGGGAGTTGAGAGTGTTGGGTATCAGGACTTTGCAGGAGGCACCTACATAGATGTACCATATGATAAACTATTTATCATGATAGCGGATCCCTATATTCATCGAATAATTCGAAATTATTTACCACAACATTCCCATCAAATTATTATTCGAGGTGCACACTATTCCCTAGTAAAATTAAGACATGAATTTAGAGAAATACAAAATCTAATCAGTGAAATGAGACGTGAACTTAGACGTCTTACTTGTTACGTAAGTGTACCCAACAATAAAATCGAAATAGTATCTTTCGAAGAAGATGAACCTCATAATTCTAGGTTTTTCAACCAACTCGACCGATTTAGAAGATACATACATGTCACAAAAATTTCAATAAATGATATAAAAGAAGATGGTATAGATACTAATCAACCACCTTTTGTCGAAAAAAATAATATGGTGATTGATGGAAATTTTTCTATTAGGCCGCGTAATATAGGTGCTACTAAAATCATGGCTGGAGATGGAATAAAAGTTACCAGGGGAGGGATATGTTCATTGGGTTTTTGGGCGAAATCAAGAAACGAACACATACACGACGATTATTTTGTAACTTCAAGAAATTGCTTTGACCGAAACAGTGGCTCTGCTTACTATTTAAAATGGAACACGGCTGAAAATTCAACCCCAACTGAAAATGTAATTGGGAGATTGCAAAATGACACATTCCCGATCGATTATGGTATAATCAGTATAACTAACCCGAGTTTTCTAGATCAAACCAAGGATACAATAGTTATAAGGAACACTGATTCTTCACCTAATAAAGAGTTGATTGTCTCTGATAAGAAAGCTGTATCCACTATAGGTGCTCATATATGCAAGTCTGGCTTCAGAACACATGTTACTTGTGGAGATATAATAGGAATCAATGGATTTTACATAGAATATGATAAGATAGAACCGGGTATAAGCTTTTCAACTATAAAAGCTGGTCGCGGTGACGATGGAGCGCCCATGTTTACTTATAAACAAGATTTGAAACATGTGAGTCTAAATGGAATTTTGATTAATGGAATTAGAACAAAAAATTTGTTTGTACAATCTGCATATGCACCATTAGAGTCAGTTCTTGTCCATAAGCAATTAATGATTAATTTGGATGGTAATCCTGGTAGTTCTAGTAATCCTGGTAATTCTGGTAATCCTGGTAGTTCTAGTAATCCTGGTAATTCTAGTAATCCTGGTAGTTCTAGTAATCCTGGTAATTCTAGTAATCCTGGTAGTTCTAGTTAGTGTTTCGCACGGACGGTTCCGGGCGGGTTTTGTTAAAAGAACCATATCTAAATTGTTACACAAAATCGAGTCCTTCTGTGGTCTCATAATAGTATCATACTAAACGCGGAACCGACCGGTATAGAAATATATTTTAAAGGTCCTTTTTAAAATTGAACAAGGCCTAATTAATAATCAAGCATTAATATATTTATTAAAATTAATAATACAATAAAAATTTGATTATAATGTTAAATTACATTTATTTATTTATTTTGTACAAAATAAGCAATTGGCAATTATTTTTTTATTTTAATTAATGGATTATATTCATCAAGAATTTTATTACATAAATTTTAAATAAATTATAAACATTATCACTAGTTTGTAAAGTAATTAAAGGTTATTTAAGTTCTCACCACCATGATCGTAAGCACATCGCTGCTTGTATAGTTTTATCTGCCAATCTATTTCACTTTTCTGTAATTATATCTCCACTAATACTAAAGATCTGCTTACTTAGTACACTTGTTGCTGGCACAAAAAGACAATTCCTAATGAACTTTGCAATATTTGGAAAATTTACATTATTTTCTTGCCACCATTCCAAGATATCTTTGTTTAGATCTGTGAGAGGCATCCAAAAATAAATATCTAATTTACTTTGACATTTAATCCAAACCCTTTTATAAATTCTTTCTGTAATGTTTGCTGATGATAATTTAAAAGTTGTGTAGATTTCATTATTAGGTGCATAGCAATATTCATATTTATTTTTAATGCTAAAACAGTATATTAGTAAGATTAATAATGCTAATAAGTATTATATAACAAATTAAATACTTACATGTCTTTGATCTGGTAATAATATAAGTAGCCACCCTAATTCTTCAAAATATTGAATATTAAGTTAGATCCTAAATTATTGCTATAAAATGCAATAAACTTACTTTATTACAATAGTCTAGAAGTTTCACTAGTAAATTTTAAAGAATTTAACATATTGAATGGCATTATTCAACTGCTATTAGACTTATATTTGATATGTTGAATGATAAGTCATTCAATTAGTTATTCAATTTACATTCAATAAGTTGAATAATATGTTATGTAGCTTTTGTAAATTTACAGACACCAATTTCTGTAAATCATGTAACTTCTGTGGTTTCACAAACATCAATGTCTGTGAAGTCACAAAAGCCACATTATTTGCAGACATAGGGGTGTCTATAAAGCTACAAAAGCTACATGATATATTATTTGATATATTAAATGTAAGTTGAATGACTAATTGAATAACATCATTCAATATATCAAATATAAGTCTAATAGCAGTTAAATGATATCATTCAATACATTGAATTTTTTAAAGTTTACTATTGCAACTAAACACACCAAACATGTTGGGTAAGTATTCAAACAAAAATTTAATATTGAATATGTCAATATTATATCAAGAATGTAGTAAAATGAATGTACTATATCAAGTTTTAAATTCATATATAAATCTTGGTTCTGATTGGGTATAGTAACCTTATGACATAATAATCTATATACAATTATCATTATTGATTCTCTGACTAAATTACTGCAAATAAAATAATTTAAAGAGTTTACATAATAGTAATAGTAAATAAGTATTTATATTCTTGATTTGTAAATTTGCTTTGCTGTTTAAAATTCTAATAATTAATAAATATTTTTTATACTTACAAGCTGAATAAATAATTAATATAAATGAAATGATTTGAAGAATATTACATAATAGTAATTGCAAATAAGTCCTTATATTCTTCAATGTATAATAAGCATAGCAGGCTTTATTATAGTAGCTAATTTTTAAAAATCATCTCATTATAATAAAGTCTTATTAAAGTAATAATTTGCTATTACAAGAGTATACAAAAATGAATTCGCAACTATAAATACAAATCCACAGAGGTTACAACATAAAAATTTAAAAACAATACCTTTAGCTTTACAACATACTAAAGTAATTTGATAATTGATAAGGTAATTTAAAAGTTAGATAAGAGGTATGTTTAGACATTTCAATTTAACTAATATTATCTACAATATATTAAATTTAGTAATATAAGTTATTTTTTAAAAGGTTTAAAATAATAATCTATTTTATTTATTTTTTCTAAAAACAGACACATATTGCCAGTAAATAAATTAGTGTTATGAATTAATGAAAACATAAGCTTGAAAAATTTATAAGCATTAAATATAGTTTTATGTTTATTATTAAAGCATAGTATTATATTTAAAAGCATTAATTTAAAATATACTTAGATTTCTTTACAAAAATTTTACATTTTTGCAATAGTATTAAAATATTCTATATTATTTATAAAGGATTTTTTAAAATGACGCACTTGCACCATGATGCACTCCTTATTAAATAATTCTAAAATGTAATATTACTCTATAAATTATTATTTTATTATTTATCCATATATATTAATCATATCTCACATGACTATCCATAGCCATATGATAGAACCTAAGACTATGAGTAATACAAATCAAATATCACCAAAAAAATTACTCTAAAGTTTATTCTGCTAATAACTAATCTGAATTCATATATACACCAACCCTAATATATCAATGTGCTACATATAAAAACTTGAGCAAACATAATATTTAGTAGCTTAAGAACACAATATTGACTATAGTAGGGGTTTGAATTAACATTAAGTAATGCCATTAAATGTTGTTTTGCTTATAGAATCAATTATTAATCAAAAAGTTGACTTAGTCAATCATTATATCAATTAACCAAAATTGATTTTTGAGGTCAACTACATCGCTGGTTATTGTTTTTGCCATTTTGCTTATGAACAAGTTCGAATATTATGTGGAATATTAGACATTGAATAATCTTTATATTTGGTAATTAAAAAGGCTATGCCATTCGTTGAGCGCATATTCTGCATATACTTTTTTTTTCAACAATGCACTTACAGAGGTTTACTATATATACTACAAGTCAAATTGATTTTTTGGTTAGACCTAGATCAAATTAATCAAAACCTGGCCAGTATCAACATAATTCTGGCCCATACTATCTCTAAAAAACCCTGCCAGCATCAACATAATTCCAGCACACACTAACTCTAAAAAACCCAGCCGGCATCAACATAATTCTGGATTACACTAACCCTAAAAAACCCAGCCGGCATCAACATAATTCTGGCTTATACTAACCCTAAAAAACCCAGCCTGCATCAATATAATTCCAGCCCACACTAACTCTAAAATTCTGCTAAGCATCATTTTGACCAGGTCAAGTTTAACTCAACATTTGACTTGTTACATATATTATAAAAACTACAGTATAACTCATTATAAAATTATTTTTAGCAATAAAAACATCATAATCTTTAAAGTAAAAAGCATTATAGTTTAATGAATTTTATTATATCATTTGTGCTGAAACAATACACTATATACAATCATAAAAAATCATACTTGCATATATACAATATAAGCCATACTCTACGCAAACGTAAAAAATATACCTACATACAAAATGCAAACTTATAAACATCTAAATATGCAATCTATATAAGTATACAAACATGCAAATATGCAAAAATCTAAATGTGCAATCTATATAAGCATACAAACATGCAAACATCAAATATGCAACCTAAATAAGCATACAAATGTATAAATATACAAATATCTAAATATGCAATCTATATAAGTATACAAATGTATAAACGAGCAAACATTAAAATGTGCAACCTATATAAGCATATAAACAAGTTAACATATATAGAATAATCTGATTTCATATTTTTATATTCTATTTGGACAAGTAGCAATATTATGACCAGATTCTTTACAAAATCTACACAAATATTCACATTTTTTCTTGTTGCCTATTTCTTGTAACATTGCCTTTATTGTAATGATTTGCTGATTTGGGCCTTCCCTTAACAGCTACCTTGCGAGGATTTGTAAACTATACTATGTTATTTTCAACTGAACTATGTGTCGAGGCTTCCTGTGCCCTAACCAACTCATCTTCTCTAGCACAAACACATTCTAAA